CTACTGCTAATATTATATTATGTGACAACATAATATAATATAATATTGTTCAGGGGTTCACAACACAAGCAATGTGGTGGTAGGGCAATATCTCTCTGGCCAGGAGAAGGATGTCATCCGGGAAAATCGTGGATACGGTCGAATTCAAAACACATGGTCCAGACCGCGGCAGGCCTCCAAACGCCTAGGCGTAAAGTGAGCCACGGATGGCGCTCCAAGCATCAACTATGATGGAATGATTATGCGGATTAAATAGCTCTGCGAGGTTATGAGGACCATCTGTAAATCAATCAGAATCAAGAGGAGTGATGTTCTGATCGCGAAACCGGATCAAGGCAGAGTGATGGAGTGCGTCGCGGCTCACTCTGTGTTCTCACACTTCCTGGAATCCGGTGATTTCACCAGATTCGCCGACTGGAGGTTTATTCATAGGGCTCGCCTCAACCTTGTGCCCTTGAATGAATCCTCGTCATGGAGAGCCGGTGATCGCAGACGTCGTCGATGTGGGTACATTACAAAAATCTTAGCCCACGTCGTCGATCACTGCATGCTATACACCGAACAATACATGGCGTGGTACAACTCTGTCGTCCCGCGAATCAAGAAGGCTGCTGGGCTTAAATACCAGAATGCCATTGGGACGGAGGGACTGCGTCCAGACTTGGTGCTGAAGAAGGAAACTAGTGTGCAGATTATTGATGTCACTATCCCATTCGACAACCACATGGCTGCACTGAAGGGGGTAGCCAAAATAAGCCAATTATAGTTTTAGAGACTTCGGTGCCAGAGGTGTCCAACCGTAGTCTCGAGGAAAAAGGTAAAAGTTAATTTTTTTTCCTTCCGTATAAATTATTGAATTATTTTTGTTAAAATGTTAGGGTCTCTCTGTTAGGAATAAATAATAATTATTATTATTCCAAAATATTTTAAATATGCGTAGATACCTGGAAAGTTTAAGACACTTGGGCCCCCTTGACAAATAAGTTGATTATCAAATAATTGAACAGTATTGGCAATTTCAATCATGTCCAGTGAGTATGTTAACTGTTTTAGACCTAACATTTTTGAGTCCTGGCGTTTTTGGTTTACAAAAAGCTTATGTTTAAATTACTTGATTGAAAAACAATTTGTTTTTCAATAATGATTTTTATCTCATTTGATGATGCTATATTTAGTTTATACAATGATACCATACATAAATCTTGGTATAATATCAATCCAACTGGCAATAACAATCCTTTGAAAGATGAAAATAGGTCCTTCAATAAATAAAATAGTAAAATAATATAAACTTAACAAGATTAGATCTAACTGAACATAAATAATAATTTATAAATACTTTTATAAACATACTTGTGAGGATACTGTTGTACATAAACGTTTAGATGGGAGTACACCAAATAATTCTTTTCTACAAGATGCAGGTACCATTGAATCACATTCGGCATTTTCAGACGTATTTAATGGAAAATTAAAAATTGATGGAATCGCACCTTTTTTTAATGCCATTTTTTTTTCTCTTTCCCATCACCTATAGTTGATTATAAAATAATAATTTAAAAAAAATTCTTAGAATAAATATTTTATATTTTCTTACTAAATCATCTGGTCCACTGTAAGTTGTGATCAAATCGACTTCAGTGAAATGTTCAGCACAAACGTAGGACACTTTATATTTATTATAGGGCCCATTTATTCTGACAATAATTTCATTCCAAGAATGGAAATCAGTAGCAGGAAATTTGAACAATGTTAGGTGTTTTTCTTTTAAACTCTTACACAAAATCACGGAACATTGCCGAGGCATTTTTAAAATGTATTTTAAACAATTTAAACTAAAACTATAAACTTCAGTCTTTAAATAGGTAGTTTCTTAAAATACAAATTAATGTTTTGTACTTATGCATCTAGTAGTTGTGTAGTACAACAGGTAGCAGTTACAGTCACGATTGTACCAAACCGAAACATTTGAGAGACATATCACTACACCCCACTCCCCCAGTCTATCGTTTCCAGTCCTGTATATTCTAGTCCGTGGTACTGACGAGCGAAGACAGATTTTTTGTTATCATATTTTTTTATTTTGATAGGTACCACGATGGTTTTAACTAGAAATATGGTACCTCTGGCGGGGGACTCTTTTGGCACCCCATACGCGATTCACATAGGCATGTCCTATCCATAATATATTATCTATGGTTAAACCATTACTACCTACTTTATATAATGTGTCTTATATGTTATCATAAGTATTTTTAAATACAATTTTTTTAATACATTTTAAAATTGGTCTTATTTTTGTATTATTTTGTAAATTCTATTAAATAATAATAATGAATTGCACAATAAATTATTTTAGCACAAAAATATTGTATAAAAAAGTTGAAAGTGGGATACTTGCGACAAAATATCTGTATAGATAGCTTATTTGGTGGCTTTTTTATTAAAAGGTTTGTGTTTGGGTGTCATTTTAAAAACTGCAATTTGTTTAGGCCAACCTTTTACTTTAGTTTAAAGCTTTTCGACTAATTTTAATTATTATTGTAATTAATTCATTTTTCTCAGTGATGATAATAGTCTTGATGTTGAAAGTTCCTATACGATTGTTGGTATAACTCAAAATTCATCATCATCTTCAAATAATTTGCATACCGATTGTTAATCATCTTTAAAATTTCGTGAACCACCATTTAGGAAACGACGTTGAACTTTTATGAATAAGGGCATCAAATATAACATTTGGAGTTCTGAAAGAACAGAACCAATCCACCAGACGTTACCTAAAATGATTGCTATTCACAAAATGTCATTATCTTTTTGTTCAACATCCGGTTTTCAACAATGTATGGCTATCGTCGAACCAAATTATTTAATATGCAAGAAGCAGCTATAAAACGAAGACTCAAATTATTTAAATTGTCAGTTGAATAACAAATTAAGAAATTCAAGAGTGTTAGTGAACATCTGACTGTTGGTCGTTAATGTCTCTAGAATCGTATATAAAAGCTACTGCACATTTTATTGATGACTTGTGGTGTCTAAAATCATACACTCTAACAACTCACCAATTGAAAGACCGCTCTGAATCATGCATGTCTAATACAGCTCCCAACCACAGTTGGAAACTGCTTTTAGTAAATGGGAAATCGAACAAAAAGTTATGGCAGTAGTTACTGATAACCGAAAAATGACATGTTCCACTCGTGATTTACAACTTGCTATTAAAAATGGTTTAAATTATGATAAAATACAACAATTAATTGAATTAAGTAGTAACATCGTTGGTTATTTTAAACATTCAAATGTGGCTACTCAATGTTTAAAGGCTTAGCAAGAACAGCTTGGCTTAAAAACGGAATGTGTAATTCAAAGCTGTAAAACTAGATAGAACTCCGAATTCATGATGTTCAACTAGGGGTGCATTCCACACCAGCCCGCAATTGATGTGTTAAAATTAATTGTAAAGCTGTGGCTGTGGAAAATTGAAGTAAAATTAAGAATAAAAGAAAAAAATTTGATCATATTATTAAATATTTATAATTGTAATCAAATATCATACATACACCAATATTATATACGTATAAATATAGTTAATATTGTGCCACAGAGGAAAAAATCGGACTTGTGCGCCGGGCTTAGGCCCCCCCCCCCCCAAACGTACAAAAGCGGTGATCAGTCACCCTTTGTCTCACGATCACGCGATCTGTGCAACGGAAAAAGGCTCACGTGGAGCTGGCCCGATGTCCAACCCCACCAACTCGGTGCAGGATATACAAAGAACGTACCGCACTCGGGGAAGCTCATGTAACAGGAAAGTATCCGCTTTACCAGTCTTAGGCCGCGAGCAGCGAGACCACTTTCTTGGTAGTACAGGTCGAGATGAAATCCGGGTTCCTCGGCGTCGCCAAACGCCAAGGAACTCCTCTTTCCAACACAATGCATGATAATAATCAAGAGCCTCGGATAGCCGCCAGATCCCAAAACAGTGGTCGGCGGTAACTGTGTTGGAGCAAGAATAGTTGGTTGTTGATCCGACTACTCTTGCGTTTAAGTGCCAGTTCTATGAGAAGGTATTTGCAACCAAGATAGGTGTCGATGTCCACAGTAGTAATGCCTACAAATCCGAAGCCAACGACCAAATTGTGACTGAAATGAAACATCTCCAATGGTCACAAGTGGAGAAAAGACTCCTGGCTCTGGTACAAACTAAACTCGTCTTCGGCTGTGTAACACCAAACGGAATTAACCGCGAGTCGCTGAAAAAACACAAGGGCCGCACCCTTGAAGTTATCATAAGGCGGAGAATTACCCAAGAACATCGTGACATGGTCGCGGCATTTCTGGATGAACTACAATGAACCCTAGCAACTCCTAGTACAAGTAGGGAAACGATGAAGGGAGGTGGATCCGGAGCAATGGTGATTGCGCAGCCGTTTGTGACCAAGCTGATAGATTAGATTGCTTGAGCCTGGCACAGAGTGCCATTCAACAGGCAGTGGTATAGCTAACCACAGTGTCTGGTCACGGAGTAGAGAAACTTCTTACTACGGCACGGTGTTTAGCTGATAGTGGCGTAGTATTTAGAATACGGCAAAAACAGCCGGGGCGTTAGAGCTCGAGTACGGGGTGGGCGATTGCAAGCAGGCATCAGTCCAGCTGATAGGCATAGCAATAGACGCAAGCCTGTGACCGTAAAGCGTTGAAGGCGGAGAGTTACAGGAGAAACGTATCAGAGTGGAGAATAATCCAGGTGCAGTGGCTGACGGTGTACTTGCGGGGGTCGACTCTAAGGAAGCTTTGCCTCAAGGCGATGAGATGATTAAATTCTGAGCGCCCATCATCAAAGGGCAGGACGATTCTCAACCACAGTCCCGGGCCGACCAGCCTAATTTGACTCATCTCGGTCATGCACTGTCATGGAACCAATTTCTCGCTAGGAGGTGACAGAGTCGCTCCTGAGCAAAAACACCACTCCTGGGCCCGTCGGATTTCCGGCCCGATAATGGAGACATCTTCAGTGTAACCTGATGGGTTGAATTTTCAACATGTTCAGGCGCCTACGGCTCCATACCAGAAAAGCTGATGAACATTGGGGCAAAAAGGGGAAACCCCAAATGCCCGGGCAACTACCGACCGAGCTCGATCGTGCGCACAGCCATCCGGCATTACCATCGGATTCTTGCCAAGTGCTTGGAAAAATTGTCTGGTGGACTATCGGCAGCGCACGTTCAGACGTGTCGATGGCGTGGCGGAGAATCTTTTCCTTCTCGACTTGGAGCTGAAGGATGCCCGCTCGCTGAAGAAAGGCCTGTGTCTTGCATTCCTTGACTTGTAGAAGGCGTTCGATACAGAATCTCATGTGCCCATAGCGTCCGCGATGCAAGTTGTGGGTCTTGACCCTCGCTTTGTGGAGTACATTCGCGGAACTTTCCGGCGTTCAGAGACTTTTTTCTAAGTGAGTGGACAGAGTTCGCGAGGCATATGTCCACGAAGTGGTGTTAGGTAAGAAACCCTTTATCTACGCTTTTATTTAATCTAGTAATAGACACAGGTCTACGAGCATACTAGAAGCCGTTGGTTTCACTCTTGGTCGAACCGTAGTGAATACCATTGCTTATGCGGATTTTGGTGGCGGAAACGCCCTCGGGATTGCGCCGGGCATGAAAAGTATTCACAAAACGGTTGGAGGTAACCGGTTTTATGGTAAATCCAGCGAAATGTACAACTCTCACCCTGGTCCCTTCCAGACGGGACGCGAAAGTCTAC